GGGGGGAGAGGAGGAATAAAATGAAATTCGTAACAGCAGAAGCATCAGCTCTTTAGCCGAAACCGTCGTGGGAAGCGGGGACGCTGAGACGGGAGGGGAGAGAATGGCCCCGGGAGCCTGACGGCTCGCTCTTGCTTTCCCAGTTGCTGTCCTAAAGCCAACGTGAGCAGCGACAGTGGCTGGCAGGTCTGGCTGAAGCCATGGCGTCTCCGTAACAGCATGTGGCTCAAGATGGAAGCTTCCCGGAGACCCACTCGTCTCAGCTGGGCCTGGGCTGAAAAGTCTGCAGAGTCAGGCCCCTGCCCACTATCCGCAGGGCTCAAATGGGTCTTTGTCTCCAAAGCCTCCACTAACGGAGGCCGAGGCCGGCACTTGTGCTCCTTCATCGCGGGCCGAGGGGCGCTGGGAGAGAGCAGAGTTAATCCCGACCTTCTGCCTTTGTGCAGTAGAAATGCTGTATTCGGAGCAGTGCCGCTGGGCTCATACCCTCAGAGAAAGCCTGGCCTGGGGCAAGCGCCTGGCGTGCAGGATGGGGTCTGAGAGCTCGCCTGGGGCGCTGGGGCCGGGGTGGGCCTGGATGCCCCTGGCAGCCCAGGGCCACCAGCAGGCCCTGAACAGAAAGGCGCTCAGCACAGGCCACCCGAGTGAACACACCCCATGACGTTCAGATGATGCGGCAGAGCGGACCGGGCCGCACTGAAGCTACTGGGCCCAGGGCACTCCTGTTCCACGGTCTCAGTCCACCCTACCCGGCCGAGCGGCCTGGGTTGGTCTCGGCCGTGTCACGGGATGAAGAAGCTCAGGCTGTGCAGCTGGCGGAATGACGGCCCCCAGAGACGCCAGGTCTCCCATCCCCGAAACCTGCAAAATGCCACTTTCTACGGAAGCGGGATGCACTGTGTGTGATTGAGTCAAGGGCCAGGAGATGGGGAGACTGTCCGGGGCTGTCCAGGTGGGCCCCAAGTACAACCACGAGGGGCCTTGTAGGATGGAGGTTTGACGAGGATGAAGAGGAGGGGGTGAGTGCAAGGGCAGAGAGTGGAGGGACGTGGCCACAAGCCACGCACGACAAGCCACCACCCGAAACCACCCGAAGGAAGAGGCAGGGGATGCTTCCCTAGAGCCTCCGGAGGGGGCACAGCCCTGCCGGAACCTCGATGTTGGCCCGGTGGCACTGATTTTGAGCTGGTGGCCTCCAGAACAGCAAGGGGAGAGATTTCTGTCGCTTTGAGCCACCACGTTTATGATGGCTTGTTACCGCAGCCCCAGGAAACTAACCCAGTATCCGGTGGGTCCCCACCACACTGGGAAGTGAAGCGAACAAGCCCGGACTAGACCCTTCAGGCTCCCACTCTTCCAAGGCCACAGCTTCCGTTCGCCGAGGGCCGAATCCTTGCAAGCGGAGGCGGCCTGCACTCTGTGAACGCGGAGGTCCCGTATTCACAGGAACGTCAAGACAACGAGTCAAGGCTGATAACAACCTCTGTGCAAGCGTCCGAGAGTGAGAAAAGAGCAGTCGCGAAGCCTTCAAGCCCTGTGCTTGCCTGCCACGCTTGTCTGCTCCTACAACTTGTGCCCAAATGGGGACCAGATTTGACTCGAAACGGAAACGATCGAGATGCTCGGCTAAAATGGCTGCTGATAAAAATGTGTAAGTGGTTATTGCTTCTAAGATTCCCCTGAGGAAGGTCCTAGAGGGTGAAAATGTTCCAAAGTCTACTGGAGAAAAAGGGTCTCTCCTCTGTCCGTTAGGATCAGGGCAGAAGGGTGCCCGGGTGGCTCAGTCAGTTAAGCGCCCACTCTTGATTTCAGCTCAGGTTATGATCTCATGGTTCATGAGATCGAGCCCAGTGTCAGGCTCTGTGCTGAGTGTGGACTCTGCTTGGGATTCCCTCTCTCTCTCTCTCTCTCTCTCTCTCTCTCTCTCTCTCTCTCTCCCCAACCTGCGCTCTCTAAAAAAGAGACAATGAAATGAAAAGTTTGAATCAGGGCAGAAACAGGGCATCACCGCGGGTGCATCTGACAGACCCTGTGCAAAACCCACAACGTGAGACCGATGCTCGGCTTCCAGGTGGCCTTAATACATCTGTGGTGAACAGAGTACTGGGGCAGGTGTCTGACAGGGTTAACAGGGAGTTGGGTGTCTATTCTCTGAAACAGAAAAGGGTGGGGTGAAGAGGGAGGGGAACGAGGGGAGAACCCGTACACGAATGCAATCTTAATCCACAGATTCATGAAAAGAAGTAATTGGGGGCCACTGGGTGACTCAGTCAGTTGAGAGTCCGATTCTTAGCTTCTGCTCAGGTCATGGTCTCACGGCTTGCGAGTCTGAGCTCCACATTGGGCTCACGGCTGTCAGCGCAGAGCCCGCTTTGAATCCCCCGTCCCTCTCTCTCTGCCCCGCCCCCACTTGCGCTCTCTCAAAATAGATTTTAAAATATATTTTTAAAAAAAGAAAGGAAGGAACTAGACATAAGTGAATTTGTGGGAGGTCTCCTAACCAAATTTCCAGTTTGGCACTTCCCAATTCCAGTAGATGTATTCCTCACGTAAATTCCTACAGTTAACAACATTGGGTTTTTTTCACCTTCTCAGATTCAGCAGAATGAAGGAATTACCTTCAAACCTTCTAATGCAGCAATGTAACACAGTCTTTCTACACATAATTTACTTTAAGAAGACTTAGAATATAAACTGGAGCTCAAGCCCACTGTGGAACATGATGATGGTAAACCCGTAACAGCTGAGATCCCTGGTCTCAGAGTTGGCTTTAGGGAGAACAAGGGTGCTTCCTACAAGGCAGGCCTCGGTACCCTGCCAGGGCGGGAACTCTGGGAAGGTCTTATGCGCATCGATCCATATGGACCCCAGCCAATATTATCCTTCCATGTGGTGTTACACTGAGGGAAATCAAATGTCTCACTGGAACCTCCTTCTCTTGGCTAATTTTTTTTTTTTTAATTTACTTGAGAGAGAGGAGAGCGAGTGTGCAAGCGGGGGAGGGGCAAAGAAAGAAGGAGAGAATGCCAAGCAGGCTCCACACTGTCAGCGTGGAGCCTGACATGGGGCTCCATCTCACCAACCCATGAGATCATGACCTGAGTCGAAAGCAAGAGAGTCGGACCCCTAACCGACTGAGTCATCCTGGTTTTTGATCCCATCAATCTTACCACGTTTAAAGTACCCAGGGCCCAATTACTCCAAGGAAGGACTTTTGCTCATTCACAAAATCTAGCTCAGGCTCTGGTCGGAGGGCCTCTCCAAGTACAGAAAAGCTGGACTCAGATTTATAACACAGACAAATTACTCAGAAAACACCTTGAGCAAATTTCCAAAATTAACTCAAAGTCTCATTTTTAAACAATCAGTTCACTTTTATCATGAACTCATTTGTTAAAATTTACTTAACTACTACTTTTTTTTTTTTTTTTAAGTAATCTCTACCCCCAACATGGGGCTTGAACTCAAAACCCCAAGATCAACAGTCACGTGTTCTACTGACTGAGCCAGCCAGGCACCCCAATTGTTATTTGTTTTTAAGCCCAGAATTGTTTTTCTTCATGGAGGCAGAGAAAGTTTTCATATAAACGAGCCCATTTTCCAGTGGCCCAAGCTTCATCTTGGGGGACGTTATAAATATTTCACTGTCATCCTCACTGCAACCTGCTTACATATCAAAATGGTCTTTAAGTAGCACTTAGAGCCAAAGAGAAACCAGCACGCACACACAAACCTTTCGCTCAGGACCAGTAGCTCTGACTAGGGACGCCAGTTAAGTACGTAATAAATATTTGCCAAATAAATAAATATTCAACAAACATTAATAATAGCCAAGTCAATGCCTACATGACGTTATTTTGTTCCCTTCGGCAATGTTTTTATTTATTTTAATAGAGAAAGAGAGGGAGGGAGGGGCAAAAAGAGAGGGGGAGAGAGAGAATCCCAAGTAGGCTCTGCTCTTGGACCCACAAACTGTGAGATCGTGACCTGAGCTGAAATCTAGAGTCAGATGCTTAACTGACTGAGCCACCAGAGCGCCCGTTCCCTTTTAAAACTACTTGGTTAATGTGCCTACACAAAGATCAGATATTTGGGGTCTAGCAAATTACATACCATAAAAATGAATTCTCAGTTTTCTTACCTCTAGCTCTGGACAAAACCATATCCTTTATTATTTGCATAATAACACGCCCGAGCATCATGACAGAAATCAGGTGATACACTCTCCATGGAGTCAGTGCAAGGAACCTGTAACAGCAAAAACAGACAAATCATGATTTCAGTTTGACGATTTTCATCTTTTTTTTAAGTTAGGTTTAATTCCTAGCATAGAAACGAAGACACAAATTTCAGTTTTCAGAATCACCCCAATGAGACCACATCAAAGTTACCCAATAGGCATCAAAGTCAGCAAAATAAAAGCGCTTGGGCCACGTATGCGTTGGTGCTAGACTTTCCGCTGTAACCTCTAATTTGGGCAGAGGATTCTCTATGCTGGGTGTGGCCCAAATATCACCCTGCTAACAGATGGAGAGTGGAATTGACCTGAAACCAAATCATGAGGCACTAGAAAGGCAGAAGGGTAGGTTTTCCACTATGTGGAGGGGCTACTGCCCTCCCTGTTCTACTTCTATCTACATTCATCCGCCAGCCCCTCCCTCCGATCTCTTGGAAACAGCAGTGATTAAGGATCCAAGGGACTAGCCCCTTCTCTTTAAGATCACATCCTGTGGTCTATCCAGCCAGGTCCTCTCCGAGGGGAAACCAAGAATTCTTTATCACGAACAGCACACAAACATTGCAGTACTTTTTTTTTTTTTTAATGTTTATTTATCTTTGGGGGGGGGGGTCACAGAGAGGGAGACACAGAACCCGAAGCAGGCTCCAGACTCTGAGCTGTCAGCACAGAGCCTGACGTGGGGCTCGAACTCACCAACCGTAAGATCGTGACCTGAGCCGAAGTCGATCATTAACTGGGCCACCCAGGCACCTTTGCAGTACTTTATGATTGGGCTTATAAAGGAACGGAATAAGCCTTCATACAGAGGTTGAAGCCTGCTTACAGATTAAATGCTCAAACTTCCAGTTAATATTAATTTTGGTGTAATCATAATCCTAGAAAAATTAACATATATGTCGTTTAAAACTAGTTGCAAGGCACTGTAGGCTTTATGGAGAAGGACACATACTGTAAAGAAAGAATCCTGTCTTCCGGGAACTTAACTTCCTCATCTGAGACAAACACGGGCCAAGCCAACCTAACAAAATCCAAGGCAAGGAGTCTGAGGTACTCAAGTAAAACATGAGCAAAGAACAAACAGAAGCAAAAGAAGGAATGATTAACTCAATAATAAGGGAAGATTTTATGGAAGTGGCCCTTGAACTTGGTCTGGCAGGACGGATGAAATTGAGAGGAAAACAGAGGTTGTTCCAGTATTCCAGAATATTCCAGGATACAACATGTACAGAAGATCATAGTCGGGGACGGGGAGGTGTGCCTGGGGCACACTGAGTGTCCTGGGGTGCCCCAGCAAGACATGGATAAAGGAGATATGTGGGAGATGGGCAGATAGAGAAGATATTGAGGGGACAGGCTGTCGGCACACTGTGGCAGGCCCTGAATTATCTGCTAGGGCATTTGGTCTTAATAATACCAGCAATAAAGAGAAAGCCAAAGGTATAGACAGGTATCAGGTAGGAAAGTGGAATGATGGGAGATTTCAGAAGATGCCTGAGAGAATGAGGTAGGAGAGTGAAGAAGCATGGAGTCCGGGACATCTGCTAGAAGGTCGTGTAACGTGTTTGGTGAGAAGCAGCCGATGTGAGATGCTGGGGACGTCAAGGGCAAAGCCCGCCGGTGCAAGGTGGGCAACCCAGGTGCCAGCTCTGGTTCTCACAGTGAGTGTCACCTGGGCCGGTAAAATAAGCGGACAGAACAGGTAAGTGCTTCGTAAATACCGGTCGCCACCGCCACCAGGTTGCTGCCTGGAAAGCTTGTTACAATACAGACTCCCAGACCCCACGTTCCTCCCCCAGGTCCCCTGAAACAGGTGGTCTAATTACCAGTGTTTACACTCAGTGAATACTTACTTGGAGAGTGTCTACACTGGGCCAGCCACTGTGCTACCAGAAGGAAATAAATACTGAGCAAGAGGCACAGAGGGAAAGAGCAGACATACCAGATAACCCGTAACACCAACATCTCTTTTTTTAGTAGCAACGATTTCATTTGCTAATCTGGGACTGCTGCTGGCTCTCTTTTTTGAGCTCGTATGTTTCTATCAAGTGAGGCTGTTTTCTGGTCTTTGTTTTCTTTTTGGCTTACCTCCTCCTATCAGTTTATGACCTCTGCTTGCTGTGATCCACATGCCAGGCTCTCTCTGATCTCCCCACCTGACATCAAAGTGGCAAGTTTTCAAAAGTCTTCATGGTGACCCACAGTGAGAAATTCACTTACATCTAAATACATACAAATGAAACCAAAGTTTCAAAAAATAATATTTGTCCTTATAATGTGTAATGCCTTCTGATACCTTCCATTCAATTCTATTATATTTTTTAATGCTGACTGCAATTCTAAGGTGATTCAGGGCTCCTGCATGGGTTGTATGTAACTCACAGTTTCATTCGCTGCATCAGAGAAAATCTATAAATGTTAAATTAGTATGTTTCATTAGATGACTTGCTGTGCAGAGTCAAGCAAAGCCCTAGGAAAGCTCCCTCAAGTTTAAAGGTCTTCAGACTCAGCCAGGAAACCAGTTACATATCTTTGAAGAAATAAAGAAATGCAAAAACAACCCAAGCAGTGAAGGTCTTAGTGGAAGTTATGATCTTCCAGGAATACAAAAATTAGGTAATGACAGGAGTGTAACCCTCAGCCCTGGCTGCTGGAAGACTTCACTCGGAGGGCGTTGCCATGGCAACTCCAGTTGGGGGTCCAGTGGACATTTTGGCCAAGGGTCTCAATGGTCATTAAGAATCCTCAATCATAAAGGATAGGCTATTTCATAAATGATGCTGTGATCATTTGCAATCCATCTGAAAGAAAGGAAAACTGTGTATCTATCGCCAAATTAAGGTGAATGAGAAAGGAATAATATTTTGCAACAAGGTCAGCCCATGTTCCCTAAAGGACAGATGGAACATATTTTCAGCTTCGTGGGTCTTCTGGTCTCTGTCACAACTGTCAGCTCTGTCACTGTATGAGAGCAGCACAGATATTATATGAAAGAATGGGTCATGTTGCAATAAACTTCATTTATCAACACACACACACCCGCAAATCCTCAGTCAGAACAAAGGCAATCCATACAACTGCTCAGGAAGGGAATGCTAACATTGTATGGGATTCCATAATCGTCTCCTAGGCAGGCTAGCATCCTTGACCCCAAGAATTAAGTACAGAAATGTTTGTGAAACTAATCCCTAATATTAATCATTCATATTTAGAAAAACCTATGCACATTTGTTTTTTTAATTATTTATACTGTTTTAGATGATTCATCTCATGGTTCCAATTTAAAATATGTAGCTGTAAAATTAAACAAACAAACAAACAAACAAACAAATAAAATGCATAGCTGTATAGACTTGTGACTTGAAATTAAAATCTTAGGAACACAGGAGTTTAATTTCTTCATTTTGCAGGAACTGCCTAATGTTCAGGAAGGCCTGGTTTTTTGTTTTTTTTCCAACTTCTACTTTGGTAAATTTCAAACACACATAAAAAGAGAGACCAACTTATAATAAAAAAGAGTCAACAGTTTTGCATCCATGGCCACTCTTGTTTCTTCTATGTTCCCACCAAGCTCTCCCCCCACCCATCCCCACCACCCAGGATTACTTGGAGCAAATCCTAAACATCATATAATTGAATTTACAAATATTGCCACCTATCTTCCCAAAAAGGAAATTTTAACCTAACAATAAAAACACTGTCTCATCTTAAAAAATTGTTTTAATCCCTTAATGTCATCAGATATCCCAACAGGATGCACATTTACCCAATCACCTTCTGTACACACATGTGCACATACACACAAAGACTGAAACAAGATTGGAAAAAAATCATACATTGAAATTGATGATGGGAGTTTTGAGTTTCCTGTAATTTATAGGTTTACTGCCTTCTTTCTCTCTCTTCTCTCTCTCTCTCTGTCTCTCTCTCTCTCTCTCTCTGCTTGACATTCTTTGTGGAAGAAACAGACTCATTTGTTCAGTAAAATCTTCCAGAGTCTGAGAATCAGTCATTGAATCCTGTGGTTTAGTTTAACATTTTCCTCAATGCCTTGGGCGGACTATAAAAACAGGCAGTTCAATCTAGAGACCCGGCCAGATTTAGGTTCAAAATTTAAACTACATCATAGGTGTTGGTGTGTGTTTCCATCAGGAGGCAGATACTGTCTGGGTGTCTGGGGTCTCTATTCCTGTGACATTAGCAGCCACTGACGAGGTCTACCTATCTTCCTTAGGAGACACAGGAGAGTGAGAGCTCTTCACTCTTGCTTCAGCCACCAGCTGGATCAGATCTATAAAGAGAAACGTCCCCTATGGATGTCTGATTGCCCTGAGACCCGGATCTCACAGGAGAGGCAGGATTAATTCTTGAGTCTTTCTCTTTATTCAGCAGCTGTCAAGATAATGAGACAGTTCCTCAGTAGCCTCTAACGAAAACCAAGTTGGTTTTCTTCTTTCCTTTCTGTAGTGTTGTTATGATCATACTCGATATGCTTCAGTCCACTGCAGTATTATTCCTTCTGACCCTCAAAAGTGTCCCATCTTGGCTGGTGGGAGCTTATTCGGGCTGGTTCCTGAGTCCTTTGGTACAACTTTAATAATCTTTGATAATTAAGTACTTTAAAGCGATAGAGAAAATACAAAATTTACAAACGTGGGTTAAAATGTTTAAAGGGGTATAGAACTAAACTTTTAAACAAAATATGGGGCACCTGGGTGGCTCAGTCGGTTGAGCATCCAGCTTCGGCTCAGGTCATGATCTCACGGTCTGTGAGTTCGAGCCCCGTGTCGGGCTCTGTGCTGACAGCTCAGAGCCTGGAGCCTGTTTCGGATTCTGTGTCTCCCTCTCTCTCTGCTCCTCCCCTGCTGGTGCTCTGTCTCTGTCTTTGTCTCACTCTCTAATAAACAAACATTAAACTTTTAAACAAAACCAGTCATTCACCAGAGGCTATCTTAAAAATGGCTATTAAAATTTGCTAGATTGATAAACAAAATGTGTTACATTTTGTTAC